TTCTTAAGATAGCTATTTTTTTAAGCCTAAATACCAGCATAAGAGCACAATTAATTGAACATACAGAGTCCTCAAGAGGGGAGGAAGTTCTGGGGGGTTGGACCCCATTGTTTTTTGTAGATTCTTTCAGTCACTTAAAGATCGACATATGTTAGTATTGAAAACCCGGCACTAAGTTGAACTTCTTTTCCCAATGGCTTGATCAGCACTGGGGTGTGTGGCATGTCCTTGTATCAATTTCTAACAAAATTAAATATAAATTTACATAATCAATTTCACGAGAGAAAAATGAAATTTCATTTCCTGAATAAAAGTTGAAAAAGTACAGATCTTAACATCCTGCTACATGTGCATGACTAAACAGGAAAAAAAGTCTGTGTACATGTGCACTCTTCTTCTTAAAATGACTATAATTGTCAGAGAATTATACTCCGAATTAGTGCCTCAAATATAGAAATGGGATGAGGGATCAATGAGTTTTTTCTAATGATGTAAGAGAACCAACGTCACATCACAGAACAGACGTCATCATCAGCCTCTACAACATGTGTTTTCTGGCATTCCTGCTGTATAGATGTTATAAATAGATATCTTCATTGATTTCTCACAAAAAAGATCGTCTATATATCTATTTACATGCAAACTCAAATTACAGTGGTTACGTGTATACGATTTAATGTCTGATCATTATATATCACTGCAACTATAGAAAATAAGATCTAATATAGAATTTTATTTTATCAATCCTATAAGTATTGAAAACGATATTGGAATACACTTTAGACCAATTTAAGTGCAGTTTCATTGATTTCCAATTTTACTACATTAAATTCCTGTTAAAAGCTGGTCTTTGGCATTTGTTGTAAATTTAACAAGAAGCCTGCTTTATTTCCTGGTTCTAAAACATGATGATATATACTTAGATTCAAGTGTAAGTTCAAGGACCCTTACACAGAGTTACAGTAGGTTTTTGGACTATAAGCCTTCAATCAAAATGAAAATAGTGAAACTCTGACACTTATGATGTAATAAAAATCTAAATAAAGAATGGGAAATGGAACATCAAAAGTCAAGGACATATATACAAGATCTTCGGACTTGAATTTTAATGACTGGGTTCTTTAATTAAATCTCGTCACTGCTGATGTAATATCTTGTGTTCAAACATAAGTATTAATGTCATTCTATGGTTAACCAATAGTAGATATCTCAATACAAAATGTGTGTGTGCGTACATGTGGACAATTGAACAGATTATAACCAAAAAATTCAAATACATTATGATGAATATCAATAATTCATATGCAATTACAGCAAAAATTACGTATGTTACCTTTTAAGGTAGATAAAGACTACGTCATACGGACCAATGCTTTGCGATCTTTGATCTTTTGTTAGGATTTAAGTAAGTCATTGCCTTCTAACGAAATAACACCATTCTTTACCCTTTTTTTTTGTTACAATAAATTTCGAATTCTGAACAGATCTGTCATGTTTAATACATCAAACATCAGAATTCTACTACTGTTTTTCTTGTTATTACAGTATGTACACAGATCTACTACAATACATGGACAAGAATACCTAAAATATTTTATGTCTGGCTGTCAATAAACTTAGTCGTTTGTAAAAACCTGAAACAATTTTGACAATACATTAACCAGCCATCAAACAGGGGTTTGGGCATATTCAGAAGTGAAATTTGTACTATTAATGTTAAATAGATATAAGATGTGGTATGAGTGCCAATGAGACAACTCTCCATCCAAGTCACAATTTGTAAAAGTAAATCATTATAGGTCAAAGTACCTACAATTATTTGTATATTTTAGACAAGTAATAAAATACAAACAATAGTCTAGCCTGTCATTCTCCATCTTTATTGGTTCATTCCAGAAACAACAACAAAGCAACACAACAAAAGAAGCTGCAAGGATTTTCAACCATCCAGAAGTTAAAATCATAAATAGCCATAAAACACAAATTAAACAAGAGATGATATCCCCAATAGGATAACGATGTCGCCTAGACAGAAATCACTTATCCACCATGTTACAACCATCGTTTTTATTGCTGACATAATGTTTTATAATTGATAAAGTTTTGCAGTGATTTTAGTCCAGTTTCAGGACAAGGTCAGAACAGTGACAGTCAGATTCTTATAGCAGATCTATAGATCTACGAATCTTCCCATCTAATAAAAATTCAAACTCTACTATTGATCAGAAAATCACTGACAATACAGTGTTCCCTTTAAAGTAATGATGGCCATAGATTAGAAGCAAGTATGTTTGTCATCTCGAATAAAAAAATATCCTAGATTATAATTGTAAGAAAATCATACAAGAAATATCAATCTTTATCATTCATTTCTCCTATTCGTACCGGTCTGTCGAGGATATAGTATTTCCGTGATGAGTTCCTAATCGATAATGATAGAGTGTCTAGTTAGATGACAAATTTTCCATTCAATCCAAAGTCTTTGGTCTTCAAGATCTACGACATCAAATACAGGCTTATTGATAAAACATTTGGCAAAACTGTTAATTACGTAACATTAAAACTGAACAGATTCTCAATCAAAGTCCTGTGCAATAAAAACAGCCAAACTTTTTCAACATTAAAGTTGCCAATTGATTGTCTGAAAGCTCTCTTCACTTTCATCATTGTGCTGTAATCTTAATATAAAATACAGCATTTGGTGCTATTTTAATATGCATCGATTGCCAATGACTTAAGTAAACAGCCATGAAGCTTTAAAAATGTAAATATCACAGACTTGACTACTGATATGTAATGCTCACATCACATATCTGATTATGCATGTACAAAAAGACTGGATACTCTATATTTTGAAATGTTCATAGAAACACATGTGTAAGTTACGTCAGAGAGATATATATTTTGCAATAACTGGAGCAACTAGATAACTGGAACAACTATATAAAATCGGATAAAACAAGAAAATATCCAGTGACCAAACATTTCTGAAGTTCCTGTACACTCTTTATCTTATATTACCTATTATGGTTTAGATGTTCAATGTCATATTACAATTGAACTTTTCTTCAACACGTAGTTAGCTGCACCAAGGCACTTCTTTTTTTGTTGTTGTAAAAGTCAATTACTACTTAATGTATGGTCTGTGCAAAGTACTTTTAAATTGTTTACTTCCTAGTACAAGATGGGTTTATCACTTATGTTTCATTTTTCGTAAATTTAAATTTATTATCATGATGATCAGGCTATTTAATTTGATTTTTTGCAATTTAAGCATTTAAAATGAAAAATAATATGAATAAAAAAAGCAATTTTTGTAAGGACTTCTTCATCTAAATTTAAAATAATAACAACACCATATACTGATATAGGATGGGACATCACACCATTTAAATAGAAAAACAAGATATACTCATTGCAGTTCACAGAAATAAATTCAAATAACATTTAGTGACAACATTTTAAACTTAATGTAATAAAGCTTACATATGTTTTTCCAAAACTAGGTCATTTTGTATGTGTTCACAATCTTAAGTAGATATATGTAAAAGACGAAGTCCTTTTAATGAAGTATCCAAATAAATGCTTAATTACCAAAAGAGAGCAACACTTCTGCACTAAGTTTTCACTTTTTATCTCAACAATAAACAATGAGACAGATGCTTGCAAGCTTTTGTACGGACCATGTCTGAAGAGCATGACTGCCTTGAAAAACTCTAAAAATCGGCCTACACATAAATTCTGAATGAAATTGGTATTGTCACTTGTAGATATATCGGTGACATCCAGTCGGCTTCGTCATTGTCTGTCAGTTTTCTAGAGCAATCCATCATTTCCAAATGGTTGGAAACTTTTACAATATGCAAGAATTGTGGTAAGAAAAGAGAAAAACCCCAAGAAAACAAGTTTGACTACTTTTGTGCACTTGCCCATAGTAAGATGATAGATTATATGAATAACCCAGTACTGTCAGAGTGTTTATATCTTACAACAATGTACTTTATAACTGACAAGACTTGCTAACGGTACCTATGTACTGCTTTTTTGTTCAACTCTCTTGATCACAGTATTTCGGTTATGAAAAGTAAAAGTAAAAGCTGAAAAAAACTTGACCTGTGCACCTGTAAAATTTTCAAGTTTACCTGAAAATCCTGTAAATAAACATGTTAAAGCTTGGAGATGTGCGACATGTCATACAATAATTTCTATTACCTTTCCTCGTCTTATCATCCTCACCATATATTTTTTGTGGATCTATATAATTAATTGTGAGATACTATACAATTACAATGTCTTTTGACAAGGTCAATATGTGGCTTTATTGACTTCTGAAAACCAATTTTATAACTGAGACATAGAACTGAAGAGAATATCCCATTGTGTACAAGTCATTTAAACCATATATTTATGGAATCAGAAGATAGTATATTTTCCGAATCAGAATATGGTACACAAATGTATTTGTTTATTCCATATACAGAAAAATACAAATGTTATTAAAAATTTAATAAAAATATGAATAGTATGAAAATAAAGCAAAACAATGCTATCAAACAATGAAATAAGAATTAAATAGAGTAGTGTGCCTCATTTAGCATTGCTCCATCATTCATTCATTTTTTATAAATCCATAAAAAAATTCTATCTTAGGTTTCTGAATTCCTATGAAATAAATAAATTTATGGAAGAAAATTTGTGAAATTTCAAATTTCTGTTTGCTATGAAAGAAGCAAAGCAATTTTTAATTCAATGCCATTTAAAAACAGCAATTATGACGAAGGGAAAATGGTATCCTCTTGTTTTCAAAACGAAATTTGCATTTCCCAAACTGTAAAAGAAGGAATATGATGTGGTTGTACTTGACAAGAAAAATCTCTTGAAATGTTAGCAATACCCAAAATAACAGTGCTTTTATTGCTGATCTTCATCATAACAGTTACTGGAAGATCTTCAACATTAAACTAAAGAGCTATCATTTCAGCTGATATATGTATGCTTACCTTGAATGGTTCGTTTGAAGAATGCTTTACAAGCTTCACATGATGAAACACCATAATGGTAACCAGATGCTATATCCCCACATACTAGACAAAGTCTCTTTGGCCCATCTACATTTTCCAAGTTGTCGTCCGATACAAAACTGATATAGTCTACTTTGTTATTATCAAAATCGTATCGCAACGATTCAAAGTCAACCTTTCCGTTTTCTAAGTCAAGTTTGGCACTTTCGAAATCCATTCGACCATTATCTGTACTGCAGGGCGATACATTGCCAGAGGTATCAGCACTCGGTGAGGAATCTCCCGTTGGGGAGACATCACCGCTGGTGTTACCACTGTTTCCGTTATACGACCCATCAGATCCATATCCATCTGTATTGAATTCGGCAAATACGTCTCGTCCAAAACTCTCCTCTAGAGATAATTGTGAGCATTTTCCAAAACTAATTGGGCTTCCCGGTTCACATTTCACAGTAAAATCAAGCTCCATTCGTACCTTTATACTTTACAATTTAATTCTGTAATCTGTTATATATATATCCGCTGCACCTACAAACAGTCCATTTCAGCAAAATCAGTAACGTAAAATCAATAGTATATATAACTCCCAACTAGTTCATACAGCGAACAAGGATATCAATTAATTGTAATTAAAATTACAGATATAGTACTGGTTGAGTGAGCTCACACAAGCTAGAAGAAATACCGACTGATATTTACATCACCTTCCTCCAACAAAATGAACATTTGCCAAGCAGAAAATGTGATGGCCAATTCTATAATCAACATTCAATAATACTACAGTTCATATAGTAAGTTGAATGATTCCTATACATATCCCAATAATTTGTATGGTTAATGTTATAAGTATATCTCTTTCGTAATCAGTCGATTTACCTGAGTATTATGAGTATATCATAACACTATTTCCTACACAGACAGGTATAGACATATATATGCAATTAAACATTCAAAATGCATATTATTCACAAACTTCTTCTTGTCTTGTTATAAAAGTCACCAAGTTGAAACTGCCTAAAGATCTCTGTACATGTAAATTTTGTCAGCTAAATGAAATATATGCATCAACTAATGGAAATTTTATATAAAGAAAATTTAATCTTTTTTGATTTATAAGCAAAATAATCCTCTTTTTCTCCAATAAGCCAAAACATTTGAGCTTCTACACATCAAATCTGCCTTGTAAATATCAATAAAATGACATCTATTAAAAGACACTTTATGAGTATGAAATTTTACAATCGGGAGTCAGAAAAAACTGCTTTTAAGTTGTGTGTGCTGCAAGACATTAGCATTCAAAATACAAATCTGTTTATCTCAAATTTAACAAAAGCACAAATAAAAACTCAAATTAGTATACTATTGCTATCTCTTCTATATTCTAGACCATAAAATGTCCTTGTTTAAGCTCTGGAAAACCCCTATACGTAAGTTCAATTTTTTTTAGTCAATAGTGTCTGGAATACATACCAATTCTATTGACTGATATAAAATGCACCAGGTATTTATTTGCTTAATTTTAACAGGAAAACTAAAAGAAATAATAAGTCAAAATAGTTGATAGTAAAATTAAGAATCCATTTTTTAACTGCAGTATTTTAACTTTAGACACTCAGTAGGTATTTTTATCTTTATTAAATAAACATCATCTGTTTTAATCTCCAGTTAGAAACAGTTTGAAAAAAAACATATCTTAACAGTAGATTTCCAATACGTGTAATTTGCTACTTCTGTTTTTATGCCTTTAATGTGAATTAAATGATTGATTGTTGTATACTTAATGTCCAGTGGCAAATAGTTCATGCATTTTCGGAACAAGAACGTGAAATGAATACAGAAAAGTGAAAAAATAAATGTGGATAGTGTCCACATGTGGACACAGATGATGCCCCTGCTTGCATATCATATATTTATAAAGGGACATAACTGAAGAATGGTAAAAGTGATGCTACCCAAATTTGAACTTGATCTGAGTTTTGTGGTAATAAGCATTGTGTGTAAGTCTCATAACATTTGGTTGAGGCAAACTTAAGTTAGAGAACTGAAACTAAATATTTTGCAATTTTTTCATTTATAAAGGGGCATAACTCTAGAATGGTTAAAGTGACGCCACCAAAATTCAAACTTGATCTGTGTTTTGTGGAAATAAGCATTGTGCATAAGTTTCATAACATTTGGTTGAGGCAAACTCAAATTAGAGAACGGAAACCAATTTTTGGACGTACGTATGTACGTACGTACAGATGGACAATGGTAAAACCTAATGCCCCCACCGCTACAGCGGGGGCATAAAAATGCAGATTAGGCTCCAATAGACAACTGTTTAAATTCCAGATGGACTTACTTCATACTACACATCCACTTCACAAGAGTAATTAATTTCAGTATTTATAACCAAAAACTACCATAAAACTTGCAACTGACACAGTGACAGGACAGAATAAAATAAAAAAAGTCTTTGAGATAGCATAAGTTAAGGAGACTACTTTCCAAGTCCGTCACTTGACATATTTTGCATCTTGAAGAAACATATCAAGTACTGTTAAGATAACACAGTTATATAGGCCACATAGATTTTAGTGAACATTATATATCATAATATCAGTCATAAACTCCATGATACTGTCATTCTAATATAAGTCTCTAAACATCTAGAAACCCCTCAGCAAAGGTGTCAATGTGACTTTGAGATGAAGAACAGCAATAAAAGCGTTGTTTCTTCGCTGTGGGTTTTATCTAGTTTGCATGAAAGAAAATTTTGTCATGGATTAATACACCATTTCTTTTACACTTAATTAAACCTGTTGAGGGATGAAATCAAATTAAAAACCATAAACAAGGAATTATTTGAATCTGGAATAATTTTGAATTCTGGAAAATTGATAAGAAATGTATGATGAAAACTAACCCAACTTAAGTGGGTTAGCCATGCGCACATGGTTCAAGTTACTTTCACTGATATTACAGTATGAACTAACTAACCCCCCTTAGCCATACATGTAACCCTATTTAGTTGAGTTAGTTTTCATCAATGATTTGTTATCAATTTTCCAGATTTCAAAATTATTCCAGATCTAAATAATTTCTTGTTCATACCATATTGCTTTTACTAAATGACAACCATGATTACCAAAAATAAAGCAAAAATAAGACAGACTTCCATAAATCATTTCTTAAAAAAACATATACTGCTTAAAGTTGAATAAATAATTACTGGATCAGAAATTACCTTCAAAAGTCTTAAAATCCACTTTCCCAAATGAATGCAGGTATAAAAATATACAATTCACAAACTGTTCAGATAAAACCCACCAACTACTAAGGCGAGTTAAGTTTTTCTACCTTATGTCCAAAACTAGACACCTTGATGGACCAAACTTGACATTTTATATTTATCATATCTTACAACCTTCTGTATGTGACAAGCAGAAATGAAATATGACATTAATAGTGATAATGAACCAAGTTATTACAATTAGTTAATAAAAGAAAAAATGGACTGAAATTAAAAGATTACCATTTGATAACAGTACAAACCATTCTCTATTGCTCATTTCTATGTAGATTGAGACAGAAACAACTTAAAAAAGAAAAGGTAATCAAACATTTGCTACCGGTTTAAACTGTAAATCAGGTAACTTTACGAAGTTTATTTAGAAACCTAGAGCCTGTGTATCTAAATAAATAGAATTGACCAACAAACAGCCTTTTTCCCAATGATGCATTATGAAGAAATGAATCAGACTTTAAAATTTTAATCAGCTCTTACTTTAAAAAGTATCCTCAATCGGGACGGGATGGTAAATCCTTAAGGGTTATTATTAGTGTACATTCACCTCCTCACAGGGTCGTGAACTAACAACAAATTGGAAACCTCTAGTCGCAAGTTCAAGGACCAAAACAAAAATAACATTTGTTTATATAATATCCACCCTTCCTTAAGAATAAACCAATTATAAAACCAGGAGTCGGTAGGAAAGATTTTCAGTACACTTATGCAGTAGCTGCAAATGATAATTGCTTTACAAGAATGTTGACATTTGCTCAGGTAATTGCAACTCTGCATCTTTCTTCCTAAAAAATTGATTAGACAATAAACAACACTATCTTTATTGGAAAGTTATTGATTGAAAGCTTCATTTTAACTATAGATTAAAAGCATCACTGGGAAGAGACAACAAAACAATTTTATTCCATGATAGAAAGTTCTGTCAGCTCAGCAAAAAAAATGTCCTGAAATAGTTCCATAGATTGACAGCATTGTATACTGCTGTGTTCAACTATTAACCTGAAACTTATAATTTGCTTCTGATGCTGTCAACATTTTCACACTTAAATGTCATACCATAAAAAGGAAACAGACCTTCACAGTCAACAACTGAATGCAAAAGAGGTGACAGACTATCAATGTGTGCATACTAATTCCAAAGAACAAGGAAAAACCCAGTTTTGTCTGACATGTAGTGTTTTACTTATACTTATAATTCTGTGATATAAGCTTCTTAAAAATTAAGGAGTTTAATTTTTTTTCTGCATTGATAAAAACCATCATTTAAAGAAAGCTTTTTTGATTTCAAGCTTTTATAATACACTACCATGACTACACACCTGTAGTTTATATTAAGTTTATAATAATTTAATAATAATAATTACATTTAAATAATAAAAATACATAATTGTATAAAAGATATATATATAAAGTTGTCTAGCCTTGAAGGTTCAGCATGTTTATAGTTCTTCCAGTGTCACCAGCAAGCAAGATAGCAGAGTGTTATCTTAAATGCTGCTTACACCAGGGGATCATCATCATACCTTAAAGACTAACTGGCATGCAGTATAAAAAACTGAAAAAATGTGAAATTTGTTTGAAAATGTGAAATAAAAAAAATTTAATTGGTCTAAAGGACAAATGAAAAACATCAGCAACATCTTAACGCCAAGCACTCTGTCTTGTAGAAGTAATTCTTTACTTATCATTTTAGTAAACAATGTAAATACAACATTGAGAAAAGCAGTATGCTATCGTCATATCTAAGGGACCAATAAGGACTCTTATCCTACTTTGCACTTTGGACCTAGTCCTACTGGTTTTTAAATCTCTTCAATCGATAGGAAATAAAGTACAAGATTTTCAAGCTTGGTCATGTTGAGATTTCAAAATTCCAGATAAAAACCATTTTCTGCGAACTTCCCTATCCGGAAATTTGTCATAAATTTTGTCCTTAACAGTTAAAACAAATATACATTTTAAAAAATACTAATGGAAAAATCTTTAATTCGAAATAAATTTTCAGCTTTACGGATATTCAAAGTTATAAATCAAATTTATTATATAACATTATGTAAGAGGTATTCATATTAACTTTAGAGAATTAAAATTACTGAAAAGAATCATTATCAAATCAGTGAAGACAAATTTGGAGTTTACTTCCATTCTGAACCATGTACATGAATGGAGCATGATTTACGGTTTTCTAGGATTTCCTAATGACATTTTAGTTATAATATTGTGGTTTCAATTATTTTCA